GGAATACTATGGAAATATCGATCGTGTTCAATTACGTTCTCATAACGATATAATAATGGATGCGGCTATAGGTAGAGTAAGGTGTTCCTWATTGAGATATCGTTTGTTTGCAGGTCCATCAATACCCAGATAGCGATCCTCGTGGTCCATATCACTCAACCTACTGCCAGACATACTTCAACAAAGATAAACCAAAATTAGTCGCCCCAATTCAACAACAAAACAATGTATGAGAGAATTCCGATTGTACTAGTAATACCTCTTGATAGCTTACCTATAGTCATTTATCATGCATTATGGGTAATTCCATGTGACTTTTGCGCGCTCTTGGACAACTGACTATATTATAGACAGTTTTATGACATATTTATTTAATATGCATCTATATATTTAATCAGAAATACTAAAAACGTGAAATGCACTCGCAGAATCAAATCGCCTTGATTGGATAATAAAAAAATGGTTTAGCATAATGCAATAGCATTTAGCATCTTAATTAGTAATTAGAGTGCAAATACTCAGTAATTTTTCGCGCTTTTGGTGTTTGCAGTCTATATCTGTGAAACGCTGTTTGAGAAATTCCGCTATTAATTATTCGATATCTTATTGATTCATTCATCATTCATAACTCGAAATATATCAACTCACAACATCAATATTTTTTTCATTTTTTATTTGTTTGCTCAATGTTTTTAACCAACTAATAGCTTTTCTTAATTATTAATACTCTAATCATTTAATTTACATTTATGCTATGCGGCAGAGTGCTGCAGTTGGCTATGATGCATGTATTTATGTAATTTTGTGATAAACACCTAATTGTGAAAAAGAACATCTGTACTTTAGTGCCAAAGGTTAATATCAAAAATTTTGATTTTACTTATGTTATAAATTTCTAATRCAAATTCTATACTAACTTATTTAACATAAATTTAATGTTTTAGATTAATTTTGTTATTATTATTTTATCGTGTGCATGTTCGTGTGCTTTTTATTGTTGAGCGGGCGTTGTTTTGTTTTTGTTTCAGACAACAGACTCGGATTCACCATTCTACACATATTTCAATAAAATTATCAATCGCGGGTTTCAGGACGATGATGACGGGGGTCTTCAGTTAGTTTCGATACAAACAGGCGTCACTGCATCTCATGATGACCTTCCCAGCGACAACAACATGACCTATGACGACGACGATGAGGACGATAACATCACTTCTGGTGATTTGATGGCCTTTGCTTGGCAGGTGTCTCAAGGAATGGTACGAATAAAATCGAAAAATAACACTAAAAGTAATAAAATTACGTATTTGCGGAAACGTCATTTTGTAGCAAGCAAAGCATGATGGGATCAAATGTAAATTTTAATTTATTTATTATTTATTTATTTATTTATTCTTTTTTGGAAAAAATGCATGTTTTCGCTTTTGTGTCGTTGCGTTAAAGCGAATTGATATAAAGGGACTGAGAACCAGTTGTTCCTCTAATTCAATCTTGTCTTAAACTTTTCTAGGAATTTTTAACAAGGCGTGGATATGTCCATCGTGATCTCGCCGCTCGTAATGTTCTTGTCGGTGAAAACAAAGAAGCAAAGATTGCCGACTTCGGTCTCACACGTCACATGTACAACAGTTTGTACCAGGCCAAGGCAAATCGCCGTCTGCCAATAAAATGGATGAGTATCGAAGCCATCTTTGATCAAAGTTTTACTGAAAAAAGTGACGTGTAAGTATAAATTCAGTAAATATATCTTATATAAAATATATATTAAATATATCTCACCAACTCAGTAAGATTTATGAAATATCCTTTGGAACACATAGTAAGACACAAGCGAAATAC